GATTTGTGCTCTCAAAAATATACTTTTTCAACCATTTTCTTTTGAGAGACTCCAGCATATCAAAACTTGCAAGAGACTACAAGAGAGAATGGCAGAAGAAATACGGTTAAGATCTATGATTCCTCAAAATTGAATGAAATTTTTTTTTCGTTTTGGTCAAAAACACAATTAATTTTTAGTGTTACATTATTATGTTACATATTGTTACATTTTTGTAGTTAGTGTTACATTTTACTATAATTTTTATTTTTTTATTGTATCACATAATTGTAATATATTTAAAGATTTTATTTTACTATAAATTTTATAAATTGAATTACGCTTCGGACACTCCAACGGTTACCGTTACCTAGTTTTAATTATATATAGATGATTTAAAATTAGCTTTTGTATATAGTTTATAAATTAATAGATTTTGGCCAAATTATTTTTTTTTAATATACAGATGGTGGCCTAAATGATCCGGCCACTTTTCAATATTAAAAAATTTATATATGTTTTACAAAATTAAAATTATAAATTTTAGTTTAACATGTTTATTACAATAATTTAATAATTAATTCTATTTCCATTCGCGGAAATAACTGTATTGACCCTCTGAGGCATAATATTGATTAATTTTCGATAATTTTCAGGAGGGAGATCATTCCATGCATCTTTGACATATTCCGTAAGTACACTAATACTAGATAGTGGTGGTGAGCGACGGCGAACCATCCTTTTCATTTCCGACCAAATATTCTCAATAGGATTGAGACCTGGCGACTGTGTCGTCCAGTCAAGCTTCACAATACCAGCATTTTCAAATGCGGTCACAGCAACCTTTGAATGATGTGATGCAGCATTATCTTCCTGAAAAATTCCATTACCCCGCATAAAATGTTATGCAAGGTACAACAAAATAAATAATAACTTTTAAGTTAATAAATATTATAACACGGCATAATTCCGGCAAAACAAACTGGCCGGATCATTTAGGCCACCATCCGTATTTAATTTTCATATATAAGTTTTATAGAAGAATGTTTAATACGTATATTTGATTATTTGTAGTAAAATTTCATCTTTTCATTACTATTTATTTATTATATATATATAAAGTAAAAATGAATCATGCATTTATTGTTTTATTTAAATACGTTCTGATCAATTAATATCATTAATTTTAAATATAGCGATTATGACTTCAATTAAATGAAGTATTTTTATATACAATTTTTTTCACGCGTAAAAGTTTTAAAAAAAAATTCGTTCGAGTTTCTTCTAATTTCCTTATTATCGTGAAAAAGATTCTTTGTCCAATAAAATGCGCAAACATCCATTACTTAAAGGCGATTCAATAATTTTAAAGCTAATGCTTCTTGATCTTCTAAAGTTACTGGTTCTTCTACTTCCAATAATTTTTGTTTTTTACTTATTGGAATTTCAATATCCTCCTCCTCATCATCATTTGATAAGTCATCAAAGTTTCTTTCAATACTTTCATTATTATCAAATTCATTTGATAAAGTTATAACATTTTCATCTTCCAATTCTTCTATTAATTTAACTCTTTTCTTGAGTTTTTTCTCTCGTTTTTTATCTTTTGCAATAATCTTATCTGTAACATCTTCTTTCTTCATAACTTCAAATTCTTTCTCCAAAAATTCATTCTTTTGAGATATTATGTCTCCTGCAGAACGGAAATCCTTTTCGTCTTGAAATTCATATACTTGATGAGGCTAATAAAAATAATAATATTCAACGTGAATAACATAAACTGAAGAGAAAAAGTACAAAAACAAGATTTTTTTAATCAAAATCTTTACATTTCCATAATCATCAAAGATTAGTTTTTCGCCTCTAGGCGCATTCTTGATGTTTAATTTTTTTGAAGTAGCTTTCATAAGTTTGCGTTTTGATAACGGATCTCGACCCTATAAAATATTTACTTTATTTATTGAATCACAATAATAACAAATAATAATTAAATGTAACAAAGAAATACCGGTTGTTTTAGTTCATCTGGTAATTCGTGGTCAGCACGTTTAAGAGTGATCAATTCATCATCATAACTCATAACATTGTCTGCTTCTCGATCTACCAATTTTTTATAATGATCTGTAAGAATAGACATATTCTTACGATTGAACATCTTTTCTAACTTAGTTTTTGGTTTAGCATTATTGGCTTTTTTCCCTTGTCCATCGGGATTTGGTAAGTTCATTTTTTCATCTTCATCAGAACTTGAATATCCGGGGATTTCTTTTGCTTTCTGAAGGGTGACATTGTTATTTCGTAATTTCTAAATAAAAAGGATTTAGAAATTAATAACAGTCTTTTATAGACCGTTTATAAGTATAAAGTTCCTTAATATAACCTTGATGAATTTTATCTTAGGAGCACCGGGCAATCCGAGGGCAGAAGCAAATTCCTCAGCAGGTAATTCATCTACTTTGAATATGGATTTATCACTTTGCAGATAAACTGATCGCATATATGATATAAATGCCTAATGATAAAAATTGTTTAAGGAAATTTTTTAAAAATGAAATGAAATAAAATCATACAATACAAGCTTATACTTTTTGTCCCAGATATTTAATTTCAGGATCCTTGAAACATAGTGATTGTAACTGTTTTTGAATGCTAAATGTCTTGCTGGCCTTTGCTTTAATCTTATCAATCGGCACTCTTTTTTTATCTAAAGCTGTTTTCATTCCTTGTTCTTCACTTGTCAACAAAAATAGCAAAGCTTGACCCGAAGCTTCGTATCTTGCTGTTCGTCCGACTCTATGAATATATGTTTCTGCATTTTCTGGGGCGTCTGCTTGTATTACCCAATCAACAGCGGGGAAATCCAAACCTCTTGCTGCAATATCAGTAGCAAACAAATATGCAAATTTCATTGAAGAAAATTTATTAAAAATTTCTAATCGTTTGGTTTGCTTTTGTTTGCCATGCAAATGAAGTAATGGAATTCCTGGATGCAATTTACAAAAAGTTTCAAACACAAATCGAACCTAATATGGGGGATAGATTAAGATTTAATAAGAAAATGCGAAATTAAAAATTTTATTTTTCTTTTTAAAAAAAAAAAAAAAAATCTCACCTGCTTGCAACTGGATAAGAATACAAGAGCTTTCACTTGTAAATGAGATTTAATAAATGAATATAATATATCATATTTTTGCGGTAATTCACAAACTAAATAATGTTGTGATAAATTAATTGGCGTGCTATGTTTTGACTCTTCAACTATAGAAATGTATTCGGGATCCTTAAATGCAATAAAATATGAATATTAATAAAAATAGTTATTAAGTGAAGTTTATTTTATAAAAATCTGATTTATAAATACCTGAAGGCTTAATCGAGCTAAATCTTTAATAGATTTTGTTTGGGTGGCGGAAAATAACAAAGTCTGTCGCTCTTTTGGTAAATTTTCAATGATGGCGTTTATAGTCTTTTCAAAACCCAAATCAAGAATACGATCCGCTTCATCCAGCACTTAATTAATTAAAAAGAAAGTTACACCTAACATTTTGAATCTACTTGAAGAGTTTAAGTTGTTACTAACCTAATACTTGGAGATTATCGCATTTGAAGTTTACGGTTTGATCCATATGTTGCAATAAACGTCCAGGGGTACAAATGAGAATGTTCATCCTATTAATACGTTCCTGTTCAATATTTACATCCTTTCCACCTATCACGAGACCAGCTGACAAAGAATGCTTTCTTCCTACTTTTCGAAGAAACTCGAATATTTGAACAGCCTATCGAAATATTAATGTTAATTCGATTAATTTGATTTAAACAAGGTTATTTAAAATGTGTTACCAATTCTCGTGTTGGTGCTATAACTAAAGCACCCAATCCATCCAATTGTGACCAGCTTTTTCTATATAATGATTCAATCAACTAATAATGATAAAGTTTTGATTGTTTAGATTTGTTAGATACAAAGTAATTGTATAATTCTCGGATAAAAATAGAATTGTGTATAAAAAACTTTTTACTTTACTGGAATAAGAAAAGCTAATGTCTTGCCACTACCAGTCTTCGCGGCACCCAAAAGGTCACGGCCGCGTAAAGCAATTGGTATGGCTTTACGCTGAATTTCCGTCATTTCAACGTAATTCGATTGCTGTAGACCTTGAAAAGTCAAAGGGGATAAGGGTAACTCAGTAAATCTTCCATATATCGAATCTGGTGACTACAAGAGAACGCGATTAATTAATTAGAACGAGAAATAGGAGAATTATTATTAAGGAAAGAAAAATTACCAAATTCTGACATCTTGTTTCGAGATCTTCTAGTTCTTTTAATGCCTGTTCACGTTTAAGTTTACGGTATTCCTTAGATCTATTAGATTTATTGCGACGTTGAGCAGACATTTTTGTTAATTAAAAAAATCGAGATGTTTATTCACATCAATAAAAAAATTTTGTGTAACGAGAAATTTTAGCATGAATTCACTGTTTCACATTAATTGGTACTGCGCATTTAATACAATAAATAATTATATGACGCAGCAAATTTTCCAAAGATTTAATTAATTTTATCAGCCTAAAATGAGCTATTAAGAGCTTCTTATTTATATAAAGTTAACTAATAATATAATAAAGAAACTTTAAGAGTATTCTTTTTTTTTTTAACGTGATTTTATCGCCCTGGGTTGTTGTATTACCAATACATAAAGTTTAAGTGAATTTCTATAGGTGTAACACAGGAGAAGGGGAAGATTCACAGAATTAAAAAAAATTGGATCAACGTAGTATACATGACGTGTTTACACAAAAAATAATTAAAACATTCAACTGTCAACAGCAAAATGTCAATAAAAAATTTGTCTTGGAGAGATTATCCATCTTGCGAAGCATTTATAATAAAATCACTTATATTTTCAATTCGTTCGGCCTTCCACTATTAATATGTAGAAAAAAAACGTATATATATATTTAATAAACATCCATAAAGAACTATTATTATTATTAATAATAATCATCAGCATATTTTCATAAATTGACTTGTTTTTTATTGTCTTCTACCTTATCGTTCTCCTCGTGTCCTGGTCCATAACATGTTACTTCTTGTTTATCATCATCTAACATTATCTTATGGCTGTGAAGAGTAGCACCAGTTTGAATATGTCTTAAAGTGATTGCATCCCCAGCTAGCCAATATCCAGAATTATCGTAATGGTTACTGTAGCTATGCCTCTGTACGAGCCAATTGTCGTTCAAGTCACTGATATGTTCATCGCCATGACAAACTGCTAAATTGAAAATTGAAAAGGAAAAGCAATCTATATAAATATTAATTTCTAAAAGTAAATTAATTCGATTTCTTTTACCTTCTTGCTGATTACTTATTGGAGCACTAGAATCCGGATGTGAACGGAGATAACGTCGTGATATTATATGCTTAAGTCGAATTTGTGTGTTAAACGGGACAATCTCCCCCATTTTCAACCGACGTCTATCTCCGTAACCTTGAAGTACCATCCATAATTCATTCTCTGATTTTCGCCGCACCGCAAACACCTATCAGGTCAAAGGGGAAGGGGAAAGGGTATAGAAAGGAAAGCGAAGGGAGAGATGATTCGTATCTCTGACTATGAAGTTGATTGAATTGTGCAGAGAACCATTGGTCGTAGTTCGAAATTTTCTACAACTTTAAAGTTCTTCTTTTTTTTTCCCACAATATCCACAAATTGACGTACAATTATTTACTTGATGATAATTATTGCTTATCTACAAAATGGTTTACTTCTTTTTTTTTAATAATATAATAATTTCTTATGCTTATACAAACCTGATCTTTATTTTCATTCTTTGATGTTTCGTTATTAGTAGCACATTTACTTGATAAATATCTTAGCGTTGTGCTATGTTGCAGAGCAATGCAAGAGCCAAACCTAAGATGTTCGTCAACGATGTAGTTTGAACTGTTCGAATCGTGTTGTGCTAACGACTGCAAATCATACTCGGTTTGTTCAGAAGACCCCCGAGTTGTTATAAGTTGGTTAATTATGTGTTGACCTTCGGGGTTTGCACCATCATTGTTCTCTATAGTGTCCATTTTCGTGTCGAGATTTATCGGAGACTAAAAAAATAACTCAAACATAGTATGCAAAATTTAAATAAATCATGGAATAAATAAGTACAAGTACCTCGTGTATAAAATAATTTGTTGGCACCTCGTTTAGTGTAAATATCAACATAAAAAAACCAAATTTTGAATTATATTTCGACGCAGTTAATTCCCAATTGTGGATTGCTACACAAGATGATGTCATTCATGTAATCAATCTTTAGTGGTTCACTTTATAATCTAACGAAATTACCAATTATTATTAATTATTATACATTTTAAAATAAAATGGAATATGGTGCAAACGGCTTAGTCGCATCAAATAACTAAGCCACCGCTGAAAAATTTTACCGATCATTTCCATATTAAATTCGTGATTTCATTGGTCAAAACTCCAACACGTGATCAATTATAGTCACGTGATATCAATTAAATCGCGTCATTTGACATCATTCGCGAACTTTTTTAACGATCTTTTTTTATTTCAATTTAACAGAATTATAATGCCAAAAGTAAATAAACGTACTAGACAGTCTCAGAAAGCTATTAAATAACGCTAAAAGCAAAAAAAAAGCTCTGAAGAAATTGTGTTTGAGCTATCAGATGCCAAATCTGATGAATTTGATGAATCATAGTTTAGTAATTTTTGGATAGAAGGTGAGGAAATACGTTTCGATAATGATGAACTTATGGATAAAATGTAAGCATAGAAACTAAATATGCTACAACAACTGGTTGAAAATGCTAAGTCACATAAATAGGCTGTAGATTCGCGTAGGCCAGTGTACAAAGGTGATGCAGAATCAACATTGCGTAATAAGAGAGCTTATTAGAAAAAAGCAGCTTTAGGTTCTAAAAAGATTACTGAAATGTTTATAACAAATGAAACTGCTGAATCTAATGTAAATAATGATAATCCTACATTTGATATTAGTAGTGATGATGATGATGATGATAAATTCTCATTAGAATTTCTGGATTTATTATTAAAAAAAAAGAAAGACGATTTACGGTTTCAGATGGTAAGTCAATTTCTTCATCTAGTCCAAGATCAAGGATATACAAAGATGAATGCAAGTAACCTGCTTGCCTAAAGCTTAAATAAAGGTCCATGGCAAGTATGACTCATCCGCTTCTGGGTTAATCAATGGTTTAGTAACGGTATGATCATTACATCTAAACGTGAACATCATGCAAAAGTTAGATCTCTTCTTTTGCATGAAGATATTAAATTGCAGGTCATTGAATATCTACGCGTATATAAATTTAAGTTAAATATTACTGACTTTGTAAAGTTTATTTAGGATGAGGTTATTTCTGCTCTTGGAATAGAAGAAAAAACAAGTATTTCATACTCAACTGCACGTTGTCAGCGTTGAAAATTTGCTCTAAAAAAATGATTTATAAAGTCATTAGATTTAATTTTATATAGATCATATTAAGGAAGATCTTGATCGATATATTGCATTGGAAAATCAGACTAATTTGAAGGATTTGCAAAATTCACCTGATTCGCCTGTTTCTTCTGTATTTTCTATACAGTTTGTTTATTCTGTTTACTCTATTTCACCTGTAATTTCTTAAACATCTGTAATTTATTTTATTTCTTTTTATTATTTTTATAGTTTATATTATTTTTATTATTTTTATTATTTTATTATATTTAAGTATATTTTTATTGGAATATATATCTATATTTAGTTAATTTATAGCGTAGCAAGTAGTTAGCTGTAGCAAATTCATTTTGTATAAATAGAATAGCTTTTTGCTTAAGTTGTAAATTAACTCAGTTGTAAGTTTATAAACTCCTCTGCAAGATTATTAACTCTTTTGCAAGTTTTAAGTTATAAATAAAGGAATCCATTTAAATCTACACAAACTACTTTTTCCTTTAACATTATCCTTTACCTAGAATTGTTATGATATACTACACTAACTTGCTATTGAGTTCATCATTACGAGTTCGACTAACATATCTTAAATTCTAAGACATGATAAATTGCTGAGTTGATTCAAGTATCACGGATACCTGTAGGACTTAGAGAAAATCCTAAGGTTGGAAACTTCAACGTATAGAATCAGCTGCCACAGCCTTTCAACTTAGATGTTAAGATAAATGAAAATGAACCCAGTGACAATGTGAATGGTTGCATATGCTTGGTTGGGAATATAAAGACTATTCAAAAAATATTTATTTTGATGGTCACGAGCGTGAAGATGTAGTAGCATATAGACAACAATTTTTGCAACAATGGGCAAAATTACGAAAGCAAATGGCTTCTTATGAAGGTGAGAAATTAGATCAGGTAATCTCACCTGTTCTTCCACATGATATTCCTGAGATTGTCTCTATTACCTATGATGAGTCGATCTTTTATGCCAATGATGATATTGTTAAAGCTTGGAGTTCAGCATATGAGAGTCGAATTCATCGTAAATTGCAAGGTCTTAGCATTCACGTAAGTGACTTTCTTTGCGAATCTATCAGGCGACTCCAGCTTTCAAAAGAGAAATGTACTATCAATGATTCACTTCCTAATGATGAGCGACTTATACATATCGAAGCTTGCATTACAATATATTCTGGTACAAGTCGTGATGGTTGGTGAACAAATAAGGATGTTGTTAAACAAGTAAAAGAACGAGCAATTCCAATATTTGAACGTATTCACCTGGGAAAAGTTGCCCTATTTTTATTTGATAACAGTTACAACCACAATGCATTTGCTGATGATGCATAAATAGTTTTGAGGATGAACTTGAAGGATGGTGAAAAATAACCACTCCTTCGTGATGGTAAAATGCCTGATGGTTCGCCTCATGTCATGATATTTATGGATATTGATGGGATGGTAAAACCTAAAAGTATCCGACGAGTTCTTGAAAAGCGTGGTTTATGGATGTCAGATTTAAAAAGAAAATGCAATGCGTGTACATAACATAATCCTGATCTAGATAAACTAGACTGTTGCGCAACATGCCTCCTTTCTTCCCAGCCTGACTTCGCATCACAAAGGATACATCTACAAAAGGTAAATTGCAATTAATTATGTATGTATTTATTTATTTCAATATTCAAATATAATTAAAAAATATTTATCTTTTTAGGTTATTGAAGAAGCAGGACATATGTGCATGTTCTATCCGAAATTCCACTGCTAGCTTAATTATATTGAGTCCTTTTGGGCAGAGGCAAAGCGATATTCACGTCTTCATTGCAATTATTCGTTCAATAACCTTAAGGAAGTCATACTACATGCATTAGATTCAATTAGCCTAATAAAAATTTGCTAGTTTACACGTCATTCTGCACATTATATAAGTGCTTACGAGCTTGGGTTTTCAGGTAAGGCAGCTGTCTTTGCAGTTAAATGATATCGCTCTTATCGTCGGATTCCTGAAAATATTTTGAAAGAATTTGAAGATATGTAAAAATAAAGTTTTAAGCTGCAATTAGCCAATCATATCCTGTCATGTGTTTTATACGAACTAATAATATTTCGAGCATGTTATAATATAGGTGCTAAAAATTCCGCCATTACTATTAAAGTTAATGTTAAATAAAACCTAACTACAAAAAATTTTTATAATAAATTGAATTAAAACTATAAGTTACATTAAAGGCCATATTAAGATCTATTAAATAACATATTATTTTTTAATATTTTTATAATTAAAAAAAAATCCTTTACATTTTAAAATTACTGAAAATTATTGGATGCGACTAAGCCATTTGCACCATAGTTCTTTAAAAATCAAAAAAAAATTTAATTAAATTATTTCTTAAATGGTAAGTACAAAATCATTAATATTGATACAGCGTTTACTACCCTAACACTTTTTTCATATCCACGTGATTATTTGGTTAGCATTACTGAACTTGGCCTAAATTATGTGTGTGACAAATAAAGTGACAAATAGAATCTGAATATATAGTAAAAATAGTAAAACAGATTATGTGACATTAGGTGATAAATTATAGAGAATCATATGAAAATAAAAAAAGTGTTAGCAATACTAAAGAAGATAGCATTTACCATTAGTATCATATATTACTGCAATATCACATAAATTACATAATATAATATAATATTTATAATAAATTAGTCTTTAGTTAATCTTTTTTTAAATCTTTTCTTTTTCTATTTAATTTTAATGCTATCATTTTTGATTTATTTTTGCTTAAATGCCTTATAATTTATCATAATTTATGGATTCAGTTTTAAAGTCTTTATAATATTAATTAAAATAATATTAAATAAAATAATATAAATAAAATAAAATTTTAGGTCAATAATATATTTAATGATTAAAATTCTGTTCAAATTATAGTTGAAGTATATGCAAAAATCTGTTTTTATTATTAATAAATACTATAAAAATTTTAATTTTATTAATAAGTATATTATTAATATTATAAAGTTAAGAAATCGTAAAATATTATATCATGTGATTTTATTAATAAAAGGAAATATTATAAGAAATTATAATATTAAAAAATTAGGAAATAAATAATCAAATAAAGGATTATAATAAATAATTAAATAATAAAATCACATTTTGTAATAGATAACAATAGCAATAATAGTATATAAACTTTAGAATAATATTTCATTTATAATTTTTATAAATTAATTTTATTATATATTTTAGATATATTATTAAATATATTAAGTATCTATACATTATTTATCTTTATATTTTAAAATTACTTTATATGATAAAATTAATCTATCTTCAAATATTAATAAAAGAATATCTGAAAATACTGCTGATGATTTACAAGATGAAGATTTAGAAGACACTAATAGCTTACAAAATAAATTATATATTTATTTGAAAATATTAATAAGTATTTGTTAATATTGAAAACTAATATTAGTTTATTTAAAAATAAACTTAAAGTTTATTTATATATGTCATATTAGCTAAAGCTTATCATTTAATCTTAAGTATAATGAAAGCAAGTTATCAAGAATCTGAATAAT